CTAAAATTACATCAAAGTCGCTCGTGTCAATTTCTATTAGGTCCACACTCAATTTTTTATCTGCTATATCTATGACACAGACTTTGTATACAACCTCCCCTAGTAGTGCCCTACTCTCAAGAGTAGACACAAACAACATAAAATCAAAATTTTCAAGTAATACATTTAATTTTGATGCAAAAATATGTGAAACAAATGAATGTGATGCACCAGTATCAATCAAAACATGAGCAAGATGGTTACAGATAGTATACATACCATATACCACGTCTGGGTCAGCTTCTATATTCTACTGAGTGAGGTTGTAAGCCCTGCCCTAAATAGGAGGTCTGGCCTGGTTTTGGTTCCTCGGGCACTCCCTTGTATAATGTTGGGTGCTACCATATATGCGACAGTTATTGTTAAGGCCATAGTAGGGTCGGTCCCCATGATCCTTGTCACAATGCTGACAGGTCCTACCGCGTCCTGTCGCGGGAATCTGAGGGAGAGCCTGAGTCATCAGCCTAGGTCTCTTGTTCTGTTGAACAGGTGCAGTAGGTGCTAGTTTGCGAAGTGAAGCTGAGGGCCTGAGGTTCCCTACTACTTGAGAAAAAATGCAAAGGTTCCTCTCCACCGACTGTGCCTTGGCCAGAACAGCTGAGTAAATACTGAGCTCGAACACATATAACTGTTGTCTAATCTCAAGACAGAGACCCCACTCGAACTTTCTTGCATTCCTTCCTTCATTCATCATGCTCTTAGGGAAATACTAGCCCAACTCTAAGAACTTTCGAGTATATTCTGATACAGTCATGTCCCCTTGGACCAAGTGTGCAAACTCCATCTCCTTCAGATGTCAGAGATGCTCTGGAAGGTACTTTACATGAAAGGCTGTCAAGAACTATTTCCAAGTGACTGAAAAAGGCAGGGTGGCCTGCTTGAGTTGCCACCAGCGGCCTGCCTCTCTACCAGTATGTAGGTAAAAAGAATAACTCTCTATTTGGGAATCATTCCAAGAGTCGTGAAGGCCTTCTCTATCTCAACTAATCGGTACTCGACCTCTTCAAAGGAGAATCCCCCTGCAAAAATAGATGAGTTTAGTCTTTGATACCTCTCAATGTAGCTTGGGTCCATCATGGGAGGAGCTGGGTCCCGTGGAAGAGGGACTGGACTGTGCTAAGGATGGACTGGATGATCCTGTAGTGGTACTGAATGATACGGTGGAGGCATTGGATTGTACTGTGGTGGTGCTGGGTGATGCGATTGAGGCATTGGGCCATACTGTGGTAGTGTCAGGTGGTATTGTGGCTGGGGCACTGGATCATATTGTGGTGGTGCCGGGTGGTACTGTGGAGGAGTAGGGTCGTACTAGGGTGGCTCGAGATCCTCTCACTGCAGGGATGGCTCAACCTGTGGCAGCGGGGGAGGGTCAAGTATCTTTCTCCCTTCCTCCCAGGCTTACTGGGCAGCAATGAGTCTCTCTAGCATCTCAAATAACCGGTCAACATCCTCTCATAGCGAACCCTTCTGGGCTGCTCAGTTTAGCGGGAGCCTTCCTTTCCTCATCTATCTATACCTGCATTTCATAATGAACGATTGAGTGATACTTCATTATTTTTTGTGCTTCCTACGGATTATTTTTGTAAGGAATGGTTCCGAGGAACGCGGCTCTGATACCAACTGTAAAGATCCCGAAAATTTCAAATGAAATGAATTATAAATTAAGTGCGGAAATAAAATAAATAGTTAGGGTTTACATTCCTTACACAATAACTTAAAGTACCAAGTAGGGCTACGTGAGTGATCCTTTTGAGAGAAATACGAGAAATTAAAGAAACAACCATAAAATAAATAAAATTGGTATTTTACTCACAACTCTTTTCTGGATCAGACTTTGGATCTTAGTTCTCTTGATCTGAAATGATTAATAAAGGAATGAGTTATATTAGCCCAGTAAGAATATCACGCTATTCACCGACGTAGAAATGAAGGTTGGCACAAATAATAAAAAAACTAATGGAGCTTCAAATTTACCAACATTCATTTTCATATATGAAATCATTTATCGTCTACTTACCGTAATGAGATTTACAAAATAATTGATAGAGACAATAATATAATACATCACATGATTTCATATGCAATTAGTTGGAATAACAATTTTCTCTTTTATTAGTCTATTAGTATTCATGGGGGTTCATAGGGATGTCCCCACAATGCGTGAACAATTTTTTTTAACATTTCCAATTAACATGCCGTCCCCATACCCCGTCTGGTATAAGCACCAAATTACTAAACTTCAATACCCCGTCTGTTATGAAGGTGAAACGGACCGTCTCCATACCCCGTCCGGTATGAGCGCCAAATTACCAATCTCGATACCTCGTCCGGTATGAGACAACGTTCACAGTAGGGTTTTTTATATATCCGATCTGTCTACCATCTCCCAGGATATCCAGTAAGACTGTCGTTTCATCCATTCACTTAATCACATAATTTTTCATTTACTTATACTCTCAAGTTTTACAATTCAACCGTAATTACATAAAACATACATCAGAGAATATAATCACATCTCAGTTTCCAAATTCAACTATAGTCACATAAGGCAGCAATACATGCATTCAAAGTCATAAAATCGATCAATAGATATTATCACGCATTCAAACTGTAAAATAATTTAACAGAAATCAACAGTGAATAATTTCTTGTTCTAGCTCCATTAGTAACCCGTAATTAATTATAGATATTTTCTAAATTGCACAAAACATCGTATTTTTGTTAATTTAACTTCAATTCCATAATAGAGAATAGAGTGAGAGATTCTTACCCAAATTGATACATGAAATGCTAAACTTATTGACTGCGCCTACTAACGGTTCCTGAGTTCCTTGAATTTTTTTTCGGGGATTAAAAACGTATTATAAGTAGCTACAAATATCCTAAAAAATCTAAAATCAGTATGGGGGCCTCTTTTTGGCCAATTCTGAAATTCCGACACAGCGGCTCCACTGTGCTTCGACGACAGTACCGTCACCCGCGGCGGCGATTTGCCTCGAGTCAGCTATTTTCGATCGGTTTTGCATCAATCCCTATGAGAAAATACGTTAAGGGGCCTCGATTGGCTGGAAAAAAATAAAAAATCGAAGCTCACAGCGGCAGGGTTCTCCGGTGCGGTGGCTTCGCCAGCTCACCTTTGGAGTTGGGTGTTTTGCTTCGGTCAACCTGTAGAGAAGGAAACAGTAATTACAATGGTGGAAGAATTATACAAAACGGAAATCGGAAAGGGCCTCATCAAAGATAGTTTTTGTTATTTCCTGCGATGGCGTTGCCGGACTTTTCCCGTGGTTTTCAGCCAATCTGCCAATATTTTTGCTCTAATTTGGCCATGAGAGTGTTTAAAATTGAATTCCGAATAAAGGGAGAAATTTTTACCTCTTTTGGCGGTCGGAAGTGGCTCCAGCGCGACAGTGGGTGGCGGCGGCTTCCCTTCCCAGATGCTGGGCCTTCTTTTCCGGCGAGGGTGTCTGGCGGCTAGGGTTAGGGTTTGGTGTGAAGATGGTTATTTATATCTATCCTCTTTTAATTTGGTTCGTCCATCGCGTTTGATCTAAACGGTCCGATCGCGATTAAATAGGAAATAGATATGGATCGTTGATCGCGTTTAAATTTGATCATCTAATCGCGTCTGGGGAGGGGACGCATCCAGGCCGTTCGTGCGCACAGGAGCGAATTTGGGCCGTCCGATCGCGAGCACGCAGATCGCCCGCGTTGCCTCCCGTGTGGCACCGCATCAGCGTCCGTTGTCACGCGATGCATTCTGGTTCGTCGGGGCTACTGACTAGGCATCCTATGTGGCACAACTTTTCTAAATTACATTTTGACCTCTGGTTTCTAATTTTTTTTTCAAAAATATTCCAAAAACCCAAAGTTTCACCTATTTTTTCTAAAATTATTGTCAATTTCCTCATTCACCTATTTTTCATTATTTTTACATTAATTTAAAATTTAAAAATATAAAAAATTATATTTATAAATTAATTTGAAATAGATTAAAATTAATTGGGCATTACAGTATAAATTTATAAACATTAAACAGCTTACTAAGTAGGTTTTTAGCTGGTGATTAATTTTCATCTATTGTTTTTTCTTAAGAATTGCAACCGTTTGTTCTTAGATTGAAGCTTCAATTTGGATTAATAATTTGATGAAGATATTTAATGTGGTTTTTTTCTCTCTCTTATATACTTTAAAGAAAAATAATTTAACAGTAATTTTATCAAACTTAGAATTTTCAAGATTTTTCCTAAAAAAAACTTGAACTATCAAATTTTTAATTAAATTTCAATTTTAAAACACTCTTTTTATACAGTAATTTTATTGAGGATTCGATAAACAACACACAGTATAAGTTAATTGGATCGATTGTGTTGTTATATTTATTTTTTAATATTTAAATAGACAAATATTTATTTTTATTTACAAAATGCATTTTTAGAATTAAAAATAAATACTGTATAACAATTTTTATGACTAAAAAACATAGAGTAATTGAATTTAATAGAATATGTCATAATAGTTAATTACTTAAGCTTTGACAAAGATATTTTAATTTAATTCAGTTTAATTAACTACTTAACTCACTAATTATCTTTTCCGTATTTAGTAATAAATGATGGTTTGATTCTAGGTCTAATCTTAGTATTTAAGGGAAGTTGTCTAGTTCATTTACTTAAATCTAACATTTAATTTCTATAGATTAAAAAAGACAAAAAACTTAGCAAGACAAACTGAAAATTTTATTTGGTTAAAAATATTAATTTTAAGTGCTTAACCAAAAATTTATTTGGAAAGTATTCAATTCGTTCTACATACTATCAGCTTTAATCTAAATACTTTCTGGAAAAATTCAGTATTCTAAGGCGTTTGTGTGTATGTACATGTGTATATGTGTGTGCGTGTGTGTGTATATATATATATATATTTGGGGTGATGTGCAAAGTAGTGTGCATCTCAGAAAATCAAACATTTAAGATATCTCCCATTAATAGATCAAACTCCTACACAAGAAAAGATTCAGAGAACAAAAACAACAAATTAATAACAATAAAAGAGCCTTATGAACCTGAGAAACAGCTGAATGAATCAAAGAAGATTTTCTAATAATTAATGATGGAACCAGCATGCAGCTTCCAAATAAGTCCTTCCCAGCATGATTCAAATATTAAAATCACCCATAAAGGGGAGCCTGGATCTTCATCTGGTTGATGATCTTGTAAGTATCATCAAAATCATTGTCGTCATCATCACCACCGCGATCGATGCAGCGCTGGTGATCATCTGGGTGGATGCCACCACAAGATTCATGGCCTGCAGCATGAATCTCGGCGTTGCTGACTCTGATAAAAAATGCAGAGACCACCAGTGTCAAGAAGCAGCAGACAACGAGTCCTCTGGATACGGCCATGGTTGGATCAATGATCAAGCTCTATATATATGTACTGTAACTATGTGTGTGTGTGTAGTGATGATCAGCTTATTTGGTGGTTTGAGAGCAGTTAAGGGAGGTTGGATAATGTTAATGGGAAAGGGTTTTGGAGCTTTTAAAGAGAGTAATTGGTGTTTATTTACTATAAAAAGAAAGCTTTGTGTTTGTGGCTGCAAGAAGAGATGTCAGTGAGTACGAGCTGGTCTTCAGGCAATTGCATTGTTGAAATGCAATTCAGCACCTTACCAATTAAACGTTTATTCTTGTCTTTTTTGGTCTCATTATAATTTTAAATATATATACACAATTGCAACAGTTTAGATTTATACGGTTTCAATCTTTTTCATTCCCCTTTTTTTTTTTTTTGTATCAACTCGTACTAATTGAATGTGTTCAGACTTCTAAACATAAAGTTTAACTCTAAATAGATTGAAATTAGAAAATTTATATATCACAATAGTATAAAAAAATTGACCAAAAAAAAAAAATCCACAAATTAATGAATTGTTATAAAAATTATGGATATGTGAATTATAACAAGCTCATATCAAAAAAATAAAAAACCTACTATTTTTGTATATGGACAAATGATCTGGAAATAAATATGTGATTTCGAGTCTGTCATTTTTCTACTAAACAAGTTCAGATGATATTGTCAACATTTTTCCAAAAAACTTCCATTGATCGCATTCACATGTCAGTTTCGCAACTCGGCCTCATGATCAACTAAATGTCTCTGCATCTCGTGTGTGTGTGCAGAGTGCAAATAATATTGCCATTATGTGACGATCAATGCTTCAACTTTTCACCTGTTGTTAATCTCTTAAGATATAAGAACTTATTAAGAATTGATCAACAGATATGGATTTCAAAATTAAATAATATTACTAAAAGATCATTGGGGAAATCAGTTTCTAAATATTTTCAAATTGAATATTAAGCACCCAATCGAACGTTAGAAATGCGTAGACTATGGTCTATTCTCAATGTTGACTTAATTTAATTTACTATTTCAAAAGAAGAAATTACACAACATAGAGAATAAATAAGTCTACATCTTCATTCTCAATCCCAATAAACAAAAGCTCCAACTCCATAACCTTGTTTCCTACACATCTTTCATGGCTTCACATAGCTAAGCATGACAGAAGCTGCTACCGTACTCGGGGCATGGTTGACAAGCTCCAGATACATATTCCGCCCTGCCAAATTGTCTACTGTTCTTTCTGAAGGCCATAAAAGCCTTATAATCTTTTCAGCACTAACAACTTGCTCCTCTCTAGAGCCTTCATTGTGAACCAATTTCCTGCAAAATGTATCATATCTTTTGAGCTCTGATGCATCAAGGAAGATTTATGATTATGCACTTCCATTCACTAATTATGTACTTTCAAATTATTATTCTTAACAAAATAGTATAAAACATTGTTATGTTTCAACTAACAATGCTTGTATAGCAAAAAGATCTTACATCAGTAGTGCAGCCAGATTTGTAGGGTTGCATGCTGAAATAGAGCTCGGGACTGATAGCAGAATCTAAAAGAATATTAGGTAGAGATATGTATGATATTTTTGCTTTATAACGAATAAACCATTCAGTTAGAAAATGTGCCCGGTATGCGACAACACATGGCAACCGTGCAAGCTGTAGCTCAACAGCAACTGTTCCAGAAGTACATAATGCAGCTGACTTGCTGCAAGCATTCAATTTAAAAGAATTATGGACTATTCATCTTCTTCAAAACTCTGCTTACCAGTGAAGCAATTCTTTTCTCACAAAAAACTTTACAACCAATACAGAGAATAAAGCTACTAGCATATTTTAGTTGAGCTTAAATCCTAATTAAACATTTATGTGAAAGGAATCATTTATTCACTCGTCCCAGTACTACACTGGATTCATAAACATAACTTGCTAATTAAATCTGAAGCCTTGAACAGTATCCTTGCCTTTGCTAAAGATTTGCATGTAGAAATATAACCAACTCCAAGAAAAATTCTGACAACCAGATTCATTTGAGTCCTGCCTAAACTTATGCAGAGGGTGAGGCCAGACAAAAATTTCAAACTAACTTGATTTGATAATTCAGAATATCAGTTCCAATAGACAAGATACTTGTTTTAATTTGCATGAATGAATTTTCCAATGTACATTTACTAAATAACCCTCTCCACATATTCAACCTAATCTGAACTTGTTCTCCAAAGACTAAAGTTCACTTCGATGGCTTAGTTTTTCCTTTTTCTTTTCTTTTTTTTTGTTGCATCCCTTGAAAGAGTCTTAAATAAAGCTAAAAAAGATGTTATGGTCATTATCCAGGGTAAGTACACAACCAAGAGCAGCAACCTTTACTTTGATAAGAAGCATATCATGGTAAAATGACTATGCTGGAGAAAGTCCATAGAAACTTACACTAAATGCATCATACTTAAGGTTTTGCGATCCTCCTGGAATCAATATGAAAGGCACTGGCCACTCATGAAGGGCTTTACTGATGTAGCTCTGCACATGTAGATTGGATGCCACATGGATTACTGTTACCAATGCAGAAAAGGAATCTTTCAAGTGCTCCATAGTGCTTGCAAAGATGGGAAGCATTCGGGTGACTTCTTGTAACCTGCTTCCAGGTAGTACCGAAATGACAGTGGCACCTTTTCAGTAGTAAAAATTGTAAAGTATGTCAGGAACTGAGGTATTATGAAAATGAAAACTAACATCTCAAGAAAATAAAAACTATTATCAGTAATTTCTCTTTCGAGGGTGAAAATTCAATAATTTTGTCTTAGGCTTGAACCTCTTAAAAGTTTGAAGAAGGGAATTGCTCCTTACAGACAATGATTCAATAAAGGACAATACTTAGACTAGATGCAAGAAATATAAATGTCAAATGAGTAGTAGTTCACATATTTTAAGTATCATAGCCTCAAGGTCAACATAAGAACAATCGGGAAACATCTGATCTGAATTATTAATTATGAAATGGTTCACTGATTTACGATTGCAATCTAAGTCTTAAAGAAACCACCAGTAACTAAAGAGAGCAGCACAATAACAACACTCAAGAAGTAAAAAAGATGTTCAAATATTCATTAAAAAATAATACTACTGCACTAACAGGAGTTTGTCAGATGTACCTGAAGGAATTGAATATTTAGCTTGAAAGTCTTCGCCATTGCCTTCTATCTTCCATTTATGAGGTATATTTTGTTTTCTCTAAAGATAATATGCCATCATCAAGTTTGTGCTAAAGCAACAACATGAGAAACCAATTTGAAAGGAAGAATACTGAATAGCATAATTGAAGTAAATGTTTTTTAATAAACTTCAAAAGTAAATTTGATAAGGACGCACGTATGTGAATCTTATATAAAATACCCGTGCATATATTCACTATAACAACTATCTGGAATAAATATCGGATAGTTTGACGTTATTCAGTAACTTGAAAGTCAAGTAAAAGGACACCATCAAAATAGATGTACTGAATATTTAAATAGATAAGCCATACCAAGTTCCATTCTAATATTTCTTCAAGAATGGGATGCCCCACAAAGGTTGCACCCAGCCCATTTGACCGGCAAACCATTTCCTCATTTGGAAGTATGCAAAACACATGGTCTACAAATTTAGCTAAGCCTCTGAGTCTCGCTTCACCCCCTTTCCATGCCCAGAATGATGGTGCTACATAATGGAAGTGTGGAGGGCCATCCAACCGTTGCTGATTGTATCTAGCTGCAAAGCCAAAAAGCATTCCTCCATTTTCCTACAACATACTTATATTGCATAAGCAATACGCAAAACATAGAAGACCCTGATATTGAAGAGGAATATTAATATTACCCCTTAACTCCTTTAACAAGCGGAAACAGAAACCCTTGGAATCCACAGTCACAACCACATGAGGCTTAAACATAAAAGCAGCCTCTGTTGTTTCCTTCAACTTGAGCTGTCGTTCAAAGACTTTTGCCTCAGAAAACCAGACAAATAAAAAGACAAAGACTTACACCGTCTCTGGATGTGATTGTGTAGAATATTCGGATTCTCAGCTACTCACTCTAAATTTATACAGATGCGGCAAAAGCTCCCATATGCCCATCACGGCAATATCCTCCATAGGGAATAGGGATTTCAGTCCTTCATTCGACATCATGGACCTAAAATATATAGAGAACTAACAAATTTAACAAAACATAAATCATACATTCTGCAAAGATAGTTTTTCCTTAATAACAAAGTTTACAGATAAGCTAATGAAATTTTAAGTCTATGTTTTGGAATAAATTCAGAATTTTTTAGGATTCATTTGCACATTCAAAATTAGTTCAACCCAAAGATGATATAAGTTTTAGAATACAAAAATAAATAAAAATAAAACTGGCAAAAAATATGAAATTCCATGTACAATTAGAGCAATATATATGAAATCTAGAATGCATTTTTCCAATACAAAGTGAAATTATACATGAGTTTAATTTCAACTATTTAAAAAGGAATTTTCACCCTCTTCTGGTTTTACTAAATGTAGATTTTGTAAATGAGCTCCACAAAATTCTGTATCTGTTACCCCGACTATAGAACAAGAGTTGCAATCTTTACGCGAAGGAAATATAAGTTAATATCCACGGAATGAGACTGGTTCACAAGAAAGACGATTGAAAGGAAGCAATGCCTTACCCTCCTACACCTGAGAAACGGACAGGAAAAGGAGAGAGCTTCTTGAGAGATGCCATGAGACGAGAGCCAATGGTGTCGCCAGAGGCCTCGCCAGAAATAATGAAAACCCTTAGCTCCCCATCTTTAGCCGCCATTTCCACCACCGGTTTGCTCCAAACCGAGAAACATCTTCGAGTTATAATCGAAAAGCACATGCTCGTCATCCTCTTCAGTTGATTAGCTGAAAATTTCTTAAATTTTGACGAATAACACGACTGATTAGCTGGAGACATATAATTGAACTCATGAGAGATTACAGTGACAACTTGATCTATAGCTAAAGAAATTCAAATCCAAATGAGAATGCAAAAACACAAAACACGGAAACCCTAGCAACTTACCCTTTGATGTTCTCTTGCTCCGGTTTTTAATTTAAAAAAAAAAACGAGGAAAATAGAAACCAGTTTCCATGGGCGGTAAGCGCAAACTAAGAAGTTCTTGTTCATCCCTTGGTCAATCTCACCTGCAGTGCTGTGCCATCAAGTGTTGGATATTATTTTTAAGAAATTTTCAGAACAAATTATTAAACTAATTTTTAAAAGCTTAATATTTATTAATTTTTAATTTTTAATCATAGTTAATTTTTATATTTTTTTATTTATTCTAAATGTTCAATTTTTTTTATGTTTTAACAAAAAAAAAATATAATAATTAAATTACCTTGGATGCTTAAAAAATAACTCAAACGAATAATTTTAATTAATTTATTATATAAATAAATGAATAAATTAATAATATTATTTAATTTATTTATTATTATTATTATTAATTTATTATTTTCATTAATTAGTTAAATTTGTTTTTTAATTATTTTTTAAAGTATTCAAACATAATATAATTATTTTAACTTTGTTCTTGTATAAATATAAGAAACTAAACATTTGAAATAAATTACAATGAAAAAATATTAGGAACCAAATTGTAATAATTACTAATTTTGTAAACTAAATTGATAATTTACCCAAACTTTCATTTATAATTAATTTTAAGTACAAAAATATATAGATATTTATGTAATAAACTGTTCAGTTATTTTTAATTCTTACCAACCAACCTACGTAGATGCAATAGATTCCTTATTGCATTAGAGTCAGGTGGTCGACTATATATTGCCTAACACTCGAGCCTAATCTAGATGATGCTTTAACTTGAAGGGATCACTATATTTTTATTATTGTTGAAAATATTTTTTTTGACCCTCAGAATTTAAGTTGGTATACGAAAAATTGTCAATTTAACTAGTAGTATAATATAATATAGAATTTGTCTTTAAATTCTAGAGTATTCACTTATCAAAAGAAATAGAAAAAAATACTAAATTTTTTTTACACCAATTAAGTTTCTCTTTTCCTATTTTATCATTGGGCAATCACGTATAACATGTAACATATCATCCCTGTTGGTGTGACCTTTGAGATATTGATTGTTACTAATAAGTTATCTTATTTATTTCAAAGTTAATGAAACATAAACAAACTACTAATATATTTGTTGATAGATATAAATATTTCATATAGTTTTCTAACAAGCATTAGGGGAGAGTTTATGAGGGGAACCTAAAAAAATGCAAATTTATTTCATAGACAATATGTCATCATTTGCATGTTACAAATATATTTATCCAAGTATAGCAATCTCCATGACAATTAATCCTGTGAGGAGGTTAACGAATTCATTCCATTTTCAATTATCATTCATATGAATTTAAGAGACCAATACACTTCATAACTGATCAATGAAAATAAAGTATTTGAGGTGATAAATTAATAAAATATTGTAAACTCAAGTGTTTATTCAAAATTTAATTTATCTATCGCTCATAATATCTTTGATCATGATATCCCGACCAATATTTAAATTTAGGACTCAAATATATTTAAGGATGCACTTTCAAGTAATGGATTAATAAACTAGTAGCATCCTAAACATTTCATATGTTGCCATTAGAGAGATATTTGGTGCGGATCAACTTAGCTCATAAGTCATTTAGCTCCACTAGAATACTTCACCCGAGCATCACGAGAAGAGCAATATTTTGATGTTTTACATCACGAAATTCCTACTTCATATCATTTAAATTTGTCAACTCACGTAATTTATATCATTTTAAATAGTTTTTGTAGGGAAAGAAAAAAAGTTTTTTTTTTTTTTTTTATTTCTTAACAATAAAATATATCCCATCCAACAACATCAAATCTAAATAATATATCTAATTGCGGCTCTAAATTAAGAAGGCTCTAAATGATGTTGATAAATTTTTTATTAAAGATAATATATACTAATTGATGGCACCCACAAGTAGTTGATGCAATAAAAGTGTACATACTAAAAAACCTGAGACTTCATTTTCCATATAACCCATAAAATTTTTCAAATGAATCTCCAGAATATCAGCTAGAGATGAGCATTAAAAGTGTTTATGTAGCGCCCGGACCGAGAAAAAAAAAAGCCACGTCGGCAGCCACGTCAGCAGGCCCGGTCAGCATTCCCGGGCAACCGGGACCTGCCACGTGGTAAAACCACGTCGTCCAAAAAGGGCCACGTTGGCGATCCGCGTGGGCGCGATCGGACGGCCCAGATTTAAACGCACGGACGGCCCAGATTTAATCAAAAACGGACGGCCCAGATTAAAACAAAATGGACGGCTGAGATCAAAAGGCAAGGGGTTATAAATAGAACCCCCACACCAGACCACAAACCCTAGCCGCCTGCCGCTCGCCGGAGAAGACGAACCAGAAGCCGGCCGCCGCCACCCACCGCCGCACCGGAGGAACTTCCGACCGCCGATCGAGGTAAATTTCGTACCCCGACTCGTTTTTCCACGCTGATTCCTCCTGTGGCCAAATCGGAGCCAAAATCCCGGCTAAACGGCCGGAATGCACGGCCGAAGCCCAGCGGCGCCGCCGCGCCCTTCTCGGTTTTTGCCTCCGATGAGGCCCTTCCCGGCCTCCGTTTGATGCAATTTTTATATTACCGTGATCACCACTCTTTTCTCTACAGGTTGACCGGAGCCGAATCACCAAAACACGAACCTCGCCGGAGAGCCGCCGCACCCGAGAGCGCCGCCGCCGGTAAGCTCCGTTTTTCTGTGATTTTTTTGGCCCCCCGAGGGCCCTAGGGTTGTTTTCTCGCAGGGACCGATGCGAGTGTGGCCGAATTCGGCCGAAAATAGCCAACCCGAGGCGAATCGCCGCCGCCAGCGGCGGCGTCGTCGCCGTCGCACGGCGGAGCCGCCGTGCCGGAGTTGCGATTTGGGCCGAAAGGGGCCCTGGGCCTAATTTGGGATTTTTTTGGGAACACGTGCAGGTACCAGTAGTGCGTTTCAGTTCCCCGAGGAAAATTCCGAGAAAATTAGGGACAGTCTGCAAGCGCACTGTGAAGCCGTGTTCGGACCCCGAAACGAGTAAGGACCCCTCACCCTATTTCCTATCACGGTTTTAAAGTCCAATAAATGATAAAACGGTATTTCATGAATCAACGAATGTGTGAAATTGCTTAAGGTCGCTAATGGAGCCCGAGTCTAGTGTGTTTGTCGGTTAACTGTTATTTGACCTGTTTTACAGTTTTAAATGCAGCATGAGGTTCGATGTTTTCATTTTATAGTTTCGTGTGCATATTTTACTGTTTTATTGATTATGGATTGAATGACCGGGATGTTGATGCTATATGTTGTCTGTTTGGCGTAAATTATCGTTTTACTTGTTTGTATGTGATTGATAATGCTGACTGAGGGAAAAGGAGAATGAAAGATTATGTGAATGGAAATTGTATAATGTGTTCAGCCTGACTAGATATCCTAAGAGATGGTGGACGGACCGGGTCCGTAGGGAACCCTACCGGGATTGTGGTCTCCCATACCGGACGGGGTATGGGGACGACCCGTTTCACCTTCATACCGGACGGGGTATTGAAGTTTATGGTTTTGGCGCCCATACCGGACGGGGTATGGGGACGGCCCGTTTCACCCTCATACCAGACGGGGTATTGAGGTTTATGGTTTTGGCGCCCATACCGGACGGGGTATGGGGACGGCCCTGGAATCTGATGACGAATGTTAAAGGTTAACGGCTAGCGGGACCCCTATGGACCCCCACGGATACTAGTAGGCTGGTAAATGAGGAAAAGATATGTTGTATAATGATTGAATTACAAAAGGCGTGATAAATGTTATGTTTTATAGTTTATATGATTCCATGATTATGATAATGTTATTGCTTTCGTATATTGTTTTATAAATTCCACCGAGGTAAGTGGATGGTAAATGTTTTATTATTAATAAAAGGATTTGTCGTAAATCATGCTCCATTGGTCTTTTGTGTTTTCTACCCACCTTTACCTCCGTGACGGTGAGATATCGTGATGTCCTTACTGGGCTAGTGTAGCTCATTCCTTATTTAATCATTTCAGATCAAGAGGACATCGTTCCCGAGCCGGTTCCGCAGGAGGACGACGAAGGGGACGCCTAAAGACTCCATAGTCACATTCGTAGTTTTTACTTTCGAGTTTTCTCCCTTAGGTAGTTTGATCCTTTATATTTTGTGAGCACGTTTTTGGTTTTGGTGTAAGGGATGTTATTCAAATTTTGACTTCGCTTCCGCATTTGATATTTTTAATATACATTCCATTATAAATTTCCGGGGCTGTTACAGTTTAGCAGTGTGGGGGCTTGAGACTTGTTGAATACGAGACAGTAACTATAAACTGCTCTACAAAATGTAGTTGATTGATTAATTATTAAATTAATATTATTTTCTAAAATGTGCATGCCATAATATCAAATCATATTTATTAGATACGTTAATCCATTTATATTTCTAAAACACCTTATAATTATTACTAGTAAATTTAGGAAGCAGCATACGTTGTGTTTCATGTGCTACAAAGCTTCATAAATGACAACCTTCTCTGCTAGGAAACCATTATTGTTGCAGACCTCTCTCCATTGCAACTCTCTGCCACCCATTTAAATTCCACAACTACTCTCCTTTGTTCTTCTTCCCTTTTTTATCTCTTAATTTTAGATTTCTAAAGGATATTACAAGAGATTAAAGGAATTCATAGAATGTACTTGAACAACACTTAATAAATTAAATGCATTCTTTAGCAATTTATACACATCACTTATATAATATGACTTTTTATTTTTTATTTTTTTTACAATTTATTAGATTATAAGTAATATATTACAGCATTTTTTTATTAGTCTAAAGGTTTAAAATAAGTGAATATAATTAAGTTAACATAGAAATGAAAACCAAAGAACTAATACTCAAAATTTAACCTACCTATTCACTTTTAATTTGTTTTTTTTGTAAAAAAATAATAATACTAACATGATTATGATTGGTGTTTATATATTACATTAATTAATGAATATTTATTTTTTTTTTAAAAAAGTCTTTGTTAAATTAAATATAACAAATCAGTACCCCATCTAACTTTGTTTTTTTATTTAAGAAACCGAATCCTGTGGCCAACGGCGGTCTCAAACTATTGAATGCAAATGACTCCAGACACCAGAAACTTGATAGTTTACAGTGTGATGAATTCATTAATTTCATCGAACCACAAGAGAAAAAGACATTAAAACTTCCACCAAACTCTCTTTGGACAAAAAATCCATCTAACCATTGCATGCCTAGTTTATACAACCAAATCGCCATCTACCACAGCTTCAGTAATCAAGCTTTTAAAAGGCTTTCCTCATTAAGCCCACAGACACTAAAGAAATTTGTTTTAATAAAAAAAGAACAACAAATGGGTAAGCCATGGATTTTGTCAACTCTCATGCTGGTTATAGTACTAGTACTAGTTGCTAGGGCCAGAGCAGAAGTCCCCGCAATCATAGTGTTTGGAGACTCCTCTGTTGATTCAGGTAATAACAACCGGATTTCTACTGTTCTCAAGAGCAACTTCCGGCCATACGGCCGGGACTTCTACGGCCGCCGCGCCACCGGCCGCTTCTCCAATGGCAGAATTCCTCCTGACTTTATATCTGAGGCTTTTGGACTCAAGCCTACAGTACCCGCCTACTTAGATCCCATGTTTAGTATCTCAGATTTTGCTACTGGTGTCTGCTTTGCCTCTGCTGGAACTGGGTATGACAATGCGACCTCTAAAGTCCTAGTAAGTACTACTACAAAATCATCAACTTATCATGTTGTACAACCTTAATTTTACAGCTAAAATATGAAATTTCTTATTCCCTTTTAAACCCATTTGATTACCACTCACAATGTGTAAGACCCATGTCTCATTTTTTTAAATCATGACGAAAGGAAAAATCTCAGGTAACTCTACTTTTTACCCTTTTTCTCTTCAAGAACATACCACTTTTCTTCAAAAAGAAAACATGACTCCCATTTTACCGGTCAAGGTTACTGAAATTTCTTATTTTCATTTGAACCCATTTCACTACCAATTACAATGTACGGGACCCATGTCTCATTCTTTTTAACTGATCATTAAAAAAAAAAAATTACTACAGTAATTCTTCTCTTCTTTTCAAGAAATTACACTAAAATTACTGTTAAGATCACTGAAATATCTTATTTTTCTTTCAACCCATGTCATAACTACTCCTAATGTACAAAACCAATGTCCCAGATTTTCAAACTGATCAACACAAACAATCCTTAACTATGAGAATTTTTGACCTGTTTACAGAATGTGATACCCTTGTGGAGAGAAGTAGAGTACTACAAGGATTACCAGAACAAGCTGAGAGCCTATGTGGGTAACGACAAGGCAAGCGAAATTATAAGTGAATCTTTATACCTTGTGAGTTTAGGAACAAACGATTTCCTTGAAAATTACTATGTGTTCCCGACCAGACGATCTCAATTCAACGTAAAACAGTACCAGGACTTCCTCGTTGGATTATCTGAGAATTTCATCAGGGATCTCTACAGCCTTGGGGTCAGGAAGATGTCCCTTACAGGGGTCCCTCCCATGGGGTGCTTGCCATTGGAGAGAGCAACTAACATCATGGATTCTCATAATTGTGTTAGCGAGTATAATAATGTGGCTTTGGAGTTTAACGGGAAGTTGGGAGGTCTTGTGACGAGGCTGAACGATGAGCTTCCTGGAATGCAAATATTATTTGCAGACGCTTATGATATTGTGTATCAAATCATTAAAGAGCCTTCTCAATACGGTGAGTTTTTGGGATTTTCTCAGTTCTTTCTTCATGTCTTTAACTGGAAATTTTACTGATCACCCACTTCATTTCTTTCATATCTATACTTGGAAATTACCAGCTTTAATTAGATGGATAGTTACACTCAATCTCTTGCTTTTATTAGAAGTGTTTATTATTAGTAAACACTTAAATAATATATACACACAATAATATGAGTAATAAAATATTACTGACATGCATGTCACTGAAAAAAAAAAAAAAAGAAGGGTAGTTGACATGCTTTAATGGGTGTTTAATGAGCAATAACATTTATTAACTGATCTGCATAAAATAAATTAATCCAACCTTATTATTTAATTACCAATAATTTATTATTAATTATATTCAGCTTATCTGAATAATAATGTGTGTGTGTGTGTGTGTATAATTGGGTTGATGAATGACAGGGTTCGAGGTGGCAGAAAAAGCATGCTGTGCGACAGGGACGTTCGAAATGAGTTATCTCTGCAACGAGCACAATCCCTTTACATGCCCAGATGCAAACAAGTACGTGTTTTGGGATGCCTTCCATCCTACTGAGAAAACTAATCGAATCGTCTCAGGCCATCTTATCCCTACACTTCTTTCTACCTTTTCTTGATTCATAATTAATTCCCTTAATTAATTTGTTATTAAGACAAAAACTTTATATTAATTATAACAATATTATTATTATGGGTTGCTCCCTTCCTCCTCCACATATAATATTATCAATATATATATATAGAGTCCTATATAACAATGGGTTTAATTGAATATTTTATGATGATTTAAAAATTATTTTTATTATTAGTGTATTTATATGGCTTAATCAATAAATAAGTTGTATTCAAATAAAAGAATGCATGGTCTAAGCCTATTCATTGACAACTACAATCCTGCAGTTTTTTCTTTGAAACCAATTAGCCCAGCCCATGGAAATTGCTGGCAAATAACTTGTTAGCTTTGCTTGAATGATAATTTATTAATATATGATATGATAATTTTATAATTTTATCTTATTTCAGACACATGATGTAGTTTTTTTGGTGATTATTGCATGGTTCTCAAAATCACCATTTTTCTCATTTTTTCAAACCACCAAATGGGTGATTTTATGTAGTTTGGATGATTTTTTTCTATTTATAGTCTTATTCTTCTTTGTTATTTACATTTATATTACCATCTTATTTAATTATATATATACATATATTTATATATTTAATTATATTTTTTTTATATTTTTTATTTATTATTACATACAATAAAATATAATAAAAAAAATTTTGATCAAATATATAATTATATAATTTTATCATAAAAAAAACAGTTATTATTATTATTTATTAATATATAATATTTTTAAATATAGTATAATTTTGTTATTGTCATATTATTTTCTTTTATGCTGGCAAAAAACAAATGTTTATTTAAATACTCAAAAAGAATTGTCTTTAATTAAGAATATGGAGAATTGGAGATGCATGCAGACAGCAATTCCATCAGGTGAGTTGCTAAAGAAATTTAAAATATTATGCTCTGTACATATATATATATATATATAGACACACACACACACACACATATATTGTAAAAGCCCAAAAATGGTTAAATAAATAATATTAAAATTTATTAATTTGCACAAACAGTTTTGAATTTTGAGTTACATTTCTTGCACAATTTAATTGAAACGCCTAATAAAACTACAGAAATACTTATTAAAAAATATAAAATAAAGAAAAATGCAAACTGAAAACTTATGCGATTAATCTCTACTGCGTAACTGGAAAAAATGGGATGCAACCCTTTTCCTAATTTTTCTGCTATTCAAGATCTAAATCTTAGTAGTTCTGATCTAAAATGATTAATACTAAGGAGTTGAGCTACAATACCTCAGTAAAAATATCAATACTTTACTATCAATATAGGAAAATCAAATGTTAGTATAAATTGTAAAACAAATTCATTTAACTTAAAAATATTTATTTCTTACTCACCTTAAGTTCTCCAATACCATTTATGTAGGAAAGAAACAAAATAATAATACACATCATATACTCTAAGATACCAATATTAATCAAACTTTATATTTTTACCTGTTTACTAATTTTGCTGGAGGTCCATAGGAGCACCCCACTACATGTGGACTCAGTATCCATTCTATTAATCAACCGATCATCTTCATACTCTGTTCAGTAATGGGCGCCAAATGTACAATCGCCTCAATACCCCGTCTGATATTAGCGTAATCAAAACAATTCCCAACCAATTTTGGTATGGGACTTATCAGCCCCGTTCGACTGAAAGTAACATCTATGGTAAGCTTTACCTTATGTACCGGATCCATACACTCTTTCCCATGGCATTCAGTAAGCCCTTTAATTTAATAATGTTACACATACATGTCCCCATCACCATTTTGCCACCAATACATGCAACACTCACATTTTAATATTTTGAGGTAATAAAATGATTCTTTAATAGGCAATATAAATTCATTTCATATGATTCAAGAAAATATAATTAAGACATTCATTTCAATATAAATTAACGGATAAGGGTGGAAACATTTGAGTAAATTAAATAAATAAAAAAGACAATTAAAATCAATAAATTAAAGTACACAAAGTAACAGCGAGATAGTAAAGCAGTATAACAATAAATAGGCAGCACAGATAAGTTAGGGACAATCATGCATTGACCGACTATAGCTTCATTGATGACATGTATTTAATTAATCCAAGGGTCACTAACATTTATAATTTTTTGTTTATTATTTATTTTGACTTTAATTTAACCATAATGGAATAAAGGGTGAAGGATTCTTACCCTGAGTCGGTGTTCGAAACACTACATTTTTCGCTACACTTTTTGGCAGTTTTTGGTTCTCGAATTTCTTGAATTTTTCTGCGAAAACCAAAACATACGTCAAATATTAAGGAAATGTGCAAAAAAATAGCCAAAAGGGGTTAAAATACCTTGAGGGTCGATTTAGGGTTTTGGCACGGTGGTGTCACCGTGCTCCAGCGTTGGCTCCACTGCCTATGGTGGTTCCTCCTCTCAGCTAGGCTAGTTTCGACTGGTTCTGTTTGAAAACTTGCACAATTTGGGGTTAGACGGCCTCTGTTGGTGGAAAAATGAGAAAAACTAAAACTTACCAGCGATTTCGAGTTTCCGGTGCAGCAGCTCCACCGTTCCTCCCTCGTGGTCACGATTTTCCTTCAGTTGCCCAGCACTGGAAACACTTAGATAACCAATTATTGAAAAACGAAAGGGAACGGAAAGATGATTCGGGCTCACTAGAGGGGTTGTTTTGGTTTCAAGTGCGGTGCCTTGGCCGATCTCTGCCCTTTGTTTTTAACTTCTCCTTGGATTTTTCAGTACCGATAAGGGTTTGGGAAGGTTTAAAATTAAAAAACTGAGCAAATAGAAAGAAAAAACTCACATTTTGGCATTAATTAGGTCTCTGGTACAGTAGCAACGGTGGGTGGCTGCTCTTTCAGTGGCCCTTCTTCATCTTCTCCGGCGAACTAGTTACGGCTAAGGTTAGGGTTTTAGTGGAAGAAGAATTTAAATACTCATCTTCCTTTGATCCAAACCATCCATTTGCCCGTGTGGCCCAATCTCCACTGTCAGCTCTAGCTTATTTAGGAAGCGAATTAGAGTCGTTCAATCGAACACAAGTGGACCGTTCGATCACACCTGAAGGAAAAATGGATCTGGGCCATTCGCGCGTGCGGGAGTGAATCTGAATCATTGGATCGGTTGGTACGCAGATCGCCCGCGTGGCCTCCCATACGAAATTCATATATGCATGTTTGCTTTGCCACGTGGTGCATGACAACTGGTCGTGCTACTAACGGGGCCGTCTTACATGGCCATTTTTTCATTTTTGCACTTTTGCTACAATTTTCAAATTTTCTTTTCAAATAGATCCTTCTTATTTTTAGTTTGGTCTTGACATTTGAAAATTGTTTTCGAATACATTCAAAATATATATTTCTTCAAAAAATTCTAAGAAAAATTAAAATTAAAATTTTGAAATTATTATTAATATAAGTTTACATCCTGAGCCTAAATCTCGAGCTCATGGTGTTACAACTTTCCTCTACTTAAGAAAATTTGGTTCCTCAAATTTGCTGCTATCCCACTAGTCAAACCATTGAGGATATTGGGTCTTGAAATCTGATTCCAATTTCCAAGTGGCTTCGTCCTATGAGTGATTTTACCACAAGACCTTGAAAAATGGAGTTTCTTTGTTGTGAAGTACTTTACTCTTCTGGTCCAAAATACCAATCGGTGCCTCTTCGTAAGATAAATTCTCCTGAAGTGGAAATGACTCGTAAGACAAGACATGTGAGAAGTCCAGGTTATACTTGTGTAGCATTGACACATGTAATACGTTATGGACTCTATATAGTTCCAGAGGTAATGCTAGCCTGTAGGTGGATATCTCAATCCTGTCTACGATCTCAAACGGTCCGATGAACCGGTGGTTCAACTTCCTCCTCTTTCTAAACCTGGTGATACCCTTAAAGAGGGTGACCTTAAGGAACACTCGATCACCTTTCTTGAATTACAAATCTCTTCTTTGAGTGTCTACAAAATTTTTCTGTCTATTTTGGGCCATTTGAATTTTTTTTCTGATTTTAACAATCTTCGTTATCGTCTCATCTACAAGATCTCGACCAATCAATTTTTTGTCACCCACCTCTTCCCAATAGATCAACGACCTACAGGGTCGATCATATAATATCTCATACGAGGCTATACCAATATTTACATAATAATTATTATTGTATACGAACTCTAGCAGGGGTAAGTGGTCATCCCAGTACCCACTGAAATCTAGAACACAGGCCCTGAGCATATCCTCCAGTGTGTAAATAGTTTGCTCTGATTGTTCATCTATTTGAGGGTGAAATGTTGTGCTAAAGAGACAATTTCATCTTCATTGTTTTGTTGAAAACTTGTCCAAAACTTGAGTCCTTGTCTGATACTACTGTCATCAGAATTCCACGTAGCTTGACTATCTCTCGAATATAGATTATAACTAGTTATTCCAAAGGGTCAGTCATTTTTGATGACCAGGAAATAAAAGAACTTAGTGAGTCAGTCAATAATTTACCCAGATCGA